CTCTGTGCAGCTAAAAAAGTACTAAAAAATGCTCTCTTCTCTTCCCCCCACACACTGTGCAGCTGAAAAGGGACTAAAAAAATATATTTTCTTTCCCCCACACACTGTGCAGCTAAAAAAGTACTAAAAAATGCTCTCTTCTCTTCCCCCCACACATTGTGCAGCTAAAAAAGGACTAAAAAATGCTCTCTTTTCTCCCCCCCACGCACTGTGCAGCTATCTCGCTGGGAATCAGCTATCGGGATCGCTGCCTGCTTTCTTTTCAAACCTCACATCTCTGAGTGACGTGTGAGTCCCACCTCTGAGTGCGATGTAAGCATCGCTCTATACGTCTACACATTTCCAATAGCCAGCAGTACTGATGGCCTGCTTTTTGAGTCGACCATGTAAGCATGCCAAAAATCGCTGAATGCCATGTAAGTAAGCATTTCACGACACGTTGCCTGGACACTTTGTCCTTGGATGACATTTGCCGGTACAGTGGCAGGACACTTTATCCTAGCCAGTACATATGGCATGCTTTGCAGTTGTATCATATCAACTTGTTTTTTAGGCTACGACTCAAAAATAGGCTCAGAACTCGTAGAATGTTATGTAAGCATTTCACGACACGTTGCCGGTACAATTTATCGTAGCCGGTACAGATGGATGCTTTGCAGTTGTATCATCAACCCGTCCCTCCCGTTCCTTGTTTCCTGTCGTGTCAGTGACTTGAGTCGCAACAGCCTTTCTGGCCCGATCCCTCCCTCTGCTTTCAACTGGTCCCAATCCTTGCTGTAAGCACTTTGAAAGAACATCCTCTTCTTTCCCTCGATTTTTTTCCTTGCTTTCTTCTTACTCTTTGTGAACAACCAGTTGTGATCGATGTTGGTAACCAGTTGTGATCGATGTTGGTAACCAGTTTTGATCAATGTTGGTAACCAGTTTTGATCGATGTTGGTAACCAGTTGTGATCAATGTTGGTAACCAGTTGTGATCGATGTTGGTAACTGGAATTCGACATTCTGTGTTTGATTTGAGCACTGGGTCATTTACTCCCATTGGATGGTACTCTAAGCAAGGTACAGGGTGTTTCATCTGAGTGTTTCATCCAAGTGTTTCATCCAAGTGTGTCATCTAAGTGTTTCATCTAAGTGTTTCATCCAAGTGTTTCATCCAAGTGTGTCATCTGAGTGTCTTCAACACCCGCCCCTTAGCTACAGTATTGCTGACCCGATTCTACTGTTGTACAAATGGAAACAGTGTTTTGAGCCAGGTCAAAACATACCCGGTCCCAGTGGTGTATAGATTAGATTCCTTTCTCATATCCGCGCTGAGTCGTCCCCCTCTCCTCCCCTGCCACTAGCGCAGCTAACATCAGGGCCATATCAGAGAACGACCTATCAGATGCCGTGACCTCCTTTTGACTGATCCGTCCCCCTTTCCTCTCCTGCTACTTGCAAAACTTGCTGCTGTTGATCTGCTGCGGTTGATCTGCTGCTGTTGATCTGCATGTGCATCAGAGGCCTGTCTGGGAACAGCTTGTCTGATCCGGAAAGTGCTGTGATCTTGTTTCAGAAAGTGCTTCTGTCTGATCCATCCCGATCTCTTCTCCTGCTTCTCCCATAACTTTCTACAGTTCTGCATGTTAGATGCCTATCTAGGGAACAGCTTGCGGCAGGAGCTATTTTGAGGCGCCTCAGAAAGTGTTTTTAGTCTGATCCATCCCCCTCTTTCCACCCGTTACTGGCATAACTTGCTGTTTTCCTGGACATAAATCAGAGCCCTATCTGGGAACAACTTGTCAGGGGAGCTTCCTGCTTATCTTGGCGACTACGGTGCACAGATGTGAGTCACACCCCCGCACTCTTTACTTATGCATCGCACTCTTAACTTATGCACCGCACTCTTTACTTATGCACTGCACTCTTTACTCATGCACCGCACTCTTAACTTATGCACCGCACTCTTTACTTATGCACCGCACTCTTTACTTATGCACCGCACTCTTTACTTATGCACCGCACTCTTTACTTATGCATCGCACTCTTTACTTACGCACCGCACTCTTTACTTATGCGCCGCACTCTTTTCTCATGCACCGCACTCTTTACTTATGCACCGCACTCTTTACTTATGCACCGCACTCTTTACTTATGCACCGCACTCTTTACTTATGCACCGCACTCTTTACTTATGCATCGCACTCTTTACTTATGCACCGCACTCTTTACTTATGCATCGCACTCTTTACTTACGCACCGCACTCTTAACTTTCGCACTTATACTCTTACACTTCAACAATCTTGCACACTTGCACTCTCACTCTCGCACTCTTGCTCCAAGAGCAGCTTGTCAGGGTGCTTCCTGTGTATCTTGGTGACTAGAGTGCAGAGATGTGAGTGTTGCTCTTGACTTGTCCACTCTCGCACTCACACGCACACACACTCTCACACTCACACTCTCACGGCACACCCTGCTCAATCCAGTTGAAGTGAAGTGTGCTTGAGAACACCCTGAAGGGCAGCTGATAAAGTTCCCCACGCACCCTGCTTGCCCTGTTTTCAAACTCCTGTTTCCCCTTGCAGATATGTAGACAGCACGCTCACATGCCCTACAGACGGCACGCCCTGCTCTCTCAAGATCAAGAGGAGGGCTGCGGCATTTTATCCCGACTTCTCCCCAGGCTCTTAATTCAGCAACCCCACACCCTTCACCCACCCCCTTGCAGATATGTAGACAGCACACTTACATGCCCCGCAGACGGGACGCCGTGCTCGCTCGAGCTCAAGCGGAGGGCTGCGAATGATTTTCCCAACTTCTTCTGCACCACCGTCTGCCCCTCCTTCTGCCAAACCTGCGTTGCCCCGCCGGATGATGGCTCGGGCGGGGGGTCAGACGGAGGCTCGGGAGGAGGCTTGGGAGGAGGGTTTGGTGGGGGGTTTGGTGGGTTTGGGGGAGGGTTTGGTGGGTTTGGTGGGTTTGGTGGGAGTACAAATGGGGGTTTGAGTAGCACAGGGGGGGTTAGCACCACTGGGGTGGGGTTGGTTGGAAGCAGGGGCTTAACAGGCTTCGGATTGGCTAGCAAAAGGAGCGCTTACGGGAAAAGGCATTTACACTAGAGTGATGCACATTCTTCAATCTACTAATGGTCTGATTGTGCAGTTCAAGTTAAACCAGATTCCTTCAGCTACTGTACGTTCAACTGCTTGTCTGGTTCGTTTGTTGCCCACATGTGTAGCTTGCTGCTCACTTGTCACCACAAGCTGAAGCTTAGTCGGTTGCCCTAAAGAAAATGCACGGTCCCGTCAAAGCAAATAAAGCAACTTGCCAATCCAGATTCTGCTCGCTGTACAAACATAGCCATCGCTAGAAAACAAACAAACAAACAACTTGGCATACACTCCTAGTCTACACGGTGGTTTCACACGTTCTCTTCAGAATCACAGCTACTCATTATACACATCCTCCCTACTCATTAAGAGGAGAGACAAGCGCTGTAGCCTCAGAAACAACCTAAAAAATATGAGCCCTTGCCCTCGTAACCTCCTCTCGAACTACAATCAGCTCCACCAGCACTTTGCTTATAGTGGGTCGCGCAGCGACAGGTATGGATGTGCATGACAGGGCCAGTTGCAGCAAATGCTTTACCATGCTGGCTGGTGCCTGTAGGGTAGGGTCCAGCCACTTGCTCGTGTCTTGTCGTTGCAGGGAACGAGTGACCTGGGAGGAAGACACGTGAACGCATACGAAATCGGAATGCTGAAGAAACAGGCGGGTACTGTTGTAGAGTAGGGTTTAGCCACTATGGTAGCTCTGGTTCACTGGTTGACTTGTGAGTCGACTCAAAAGTCAACTATGAAATCGGAATGCTGAAGGAAGAGGCGGGTACTGTTGTAGAGTAGGGTTCAGCCACTACGGTAGCTCTGGTTCACTGGTCTACTGGGCAGATTTCTGATGCGCCTCAAAAGGTGGGATTAGATGTGCCTCAGAAGGCGCACATTTTTTAGGCACCTCAAAAGGGGACCCTGGCTCTGGTTTACTCAACGGGTCCCACAACGATCAGAGGTTTGGAAAAGAGAAACGATGAATGTGATTGTCCAAACTCACCCACTCCACATTGCCACTTGTTCAGCCCACCCAGTTTTTGGGATTGACATGCTTCACAGGCTTGTCAAAAAGCCTTTTGAGGTGCCTTAGATCGCGTTGGACCCACACACCCAGTGTATGACATTCGCACTCTCCACCGGCCCGAATCCATCATCTCTCCACTGGCCCGAATCCATCATCTCTGGCGAAGGAGACGACCGCCCTGTGCCCCATGCTGGAGCGAGCACTTGCAGGATAAGAGGAACGATCGACACGATTTTTAAGTCGCGTAAATAACCGACTTATCAGACGGAGCCGACCGCCTTGTGCCCCATGTCGGAGCGAGCCGTTGCAGGAAAAGGGAAACGGTCAACACGGTTGTGAAGGCTCACCTAGTGCTTTGATGCTCACTTGCTCCATGGGCCTGAAGCCGGTGTCTCTGCCTACCGGCTTTTGAGGCGCCTCAAAAGCTGTGAAAGCTGACCCAGTGTTTGACATTCATGTTGACTTTCGAGTCATCTTGAAAGCTGACCCAGTGTTTGACATTCATGTTGACTTTCGAGTCGACTTGAAAGCTCACCCAGTGTTTGACGTTCACATGCTCACCCAGTGTTTGACGTTCACATGCTCACCCAGTGTTTGACGTTCACATGCTCACCCAGTGTTTGACGTTCACATGCTCACCCAGTGTTTGACGTTCACATGCTCACCCAGTGTTTGACGTTCACATGCTCACCCAGTGTTTGACGTTCACATGCTCACCCAGTGTTTGACGTTCACAGGCTCACCCAGTGTTTGACGTTCACATGCTCACCCAGTGTTTGACGTTCACATGCTCACCCAGTGTTTGACGTTCACATGCTCACCCAGTGTTTGACGTTCACATGCTCACCCAGTGTTTGACGTTCACATGCTCACCCAGTGTTTGACGTTCACATGCTCACCCAGTGTTTGACGTTCACATGCTCCACGGGCCCGAAGCCATCGTCTCTCTCTACCGGTATGATTGCCTTGCGCCCTGTTAGCAGCACCAGCATCACCACTCCGAAGCTGCAGGGAAAAGAGGGCGCAAGAGATTGCATTGGCCCTTAAAGCACATGTGCCGGCGAGTGATTTCTCACGAGTGTATGCGATTCCAATTTGAGCTAGTCTAACTGAAAGAAAGCCGAAATCCCAGCAACACAACGATGCATCCCCTCACCTGTGCACGTCAGCCCATAGGGGTGGCCTTATACCACTCATAGTGCCATTGGTGCTGCTATCAGCACTGCCATACAAACGCTGGTACTGCTTTCGTGAGATCTCACAACCCCCTCACCTGTGCACGTCAGCTGCAGGGGTGGCCTTGTGTGACTCAAAGTAGGCCGGGTCAACAAAGCCAGGTGTGCCCACCACCCGAGTCGACTCCCATACTCCACTCGCTGTACTGCTCCTGCTGCTGCTGCTGCCATCGCCACTGCTTCTGCTGATGGTAACAGCCGTGGCTGGACTGCTTGCCATGTTGATGTGATGGTGCTGCTGGGGTGGTATGGGGTTGGGTCGTAGCAGCCCGAAATCTGCGATTTTGGCCTGAGGTGTGGTATGAATGGAGAGAGAAGGGAGGAGAGGGGAGGAAGGAGAGAGGAGGGAGAGAGAAGGAAGGAAAGGGGAGGAAGGAGAGAGGAGGGAGAGAGAAGGAAGGAAAGGGGAGGAAGGAGAGAGGAGGGAGAGAGAAGGAAGGAAAGGGAAGGAAGGAGAGAGGAGGGAGAGAGAAGGAAGGAAAGGGAAGGAAGGAGAGCGAAGGAAGGAACGATAAGAATAAGAGAAGATGAAAAGGACAGCAGAGGGTGGGAAGAGCAGGAAAAGGGATGGTTTCTATATTAAGTTTAAAAGGGATAAGTTACATACACATCCACCCACCCACGCACACTCATGCATGCAAACTTACCCACGCACACGCATGCATGCACACCCACCTACACACACGCATGCATGCACACCCACCTACACACACGCATGCATGCACACCCACCTACACACACGCATCCATGCACACCCACCTACACACAGCCACCCAAGCCTCCACACCTGCATGTTCCCATCCAGCAGTATATTGGCTGGCTTGATGTCCCGATGCACGATGCCAAAACCGTGAAGATACTCCAATCCACGTACCACCCCGATCAGAATATCCAGACGTTGCAGCAGGGAAAGGGGCGAGGAGCCTGGGGGCGGGGGAGGGGGAAATAAGTGAGGGATGGGGCAAGAATAACCACAGATGAATGCCGAAAGCCGTGAAGATACTCCAATCCGCGTACCGTCCCAAAACGACATCCCATGCACTGTTGCAGGGCAGGGTGACGAGGTGACTTTTGAGTCGACTCAAAAGCCAAAACGACAGCCCATGCACTGCTGCAGGGAAGGGTGAGGGGCGAGGAGGCTGGGGATGGGGACACAACGGAGAATCGTGAGAAGCGGGGGGGGGGGGGGGGGAGACGGTGTGCTGTTTGATACCAATGAAAGCCCTGTTTCTCATGGCACTGTTGCTTCATTGCCAATGAATCGTGTATACACTGTTCTGGTCCCCTTAATCGAACTCTGTTCCAAGGTTGATGATGCCAAACTTCTTGATCAATGGCTTTGCTAATACTCTGGTCGATGAAGAGTATCAGAGATCGGTATTCTGATACGCTGGTCCCCGAGTCAAAACTAACCAAATCTGCTCGCGAGCAGAGTTTTGAGGAGGTTTGATTAACCTGCTCAAAATGATTTTTAAGTCGACTCGAAAGCTCAAACCTCCTTGGAGAAGAATTCTGAGGCGCAATCAGTTGTCCTTTCACAGCCCCACGAAGGAATCTGCCTGCTTTGAGTCAACTCAAAACAAAACTTTGAGGCGCAATCAGTTGTCATTTCACAGCCCTAGGCATCCACCTTCCTGTATAAGCTTCTTGGAAAGGCTCACCTGCCTTTCATCCTGCTCTCGAGATCCCCCCCTTGCATGAGCTCATAATTAACACTTGCTCCACCGCACCCTTCCAGTATGAGTGACTGCACCATGCACCATGCACCATGCACCATGCACCATGCACCATGCACCATGCACCATGCACCATGCACCATGCACCATGCACCATGCACCATGCACCATGCACCATGCACCATGCACCATGCACCGTGCACCGTGCACCATGCACTGTGCACCGTGCACCGTGCACCATGCACCATGCACCATGCACCATGCACCATGCACCATGCACCATGCACCATGCACCATGCACCATGCACCATGCACCATGCACCATGCACCATGCACCATGCACCATGCACCATGCACCATGCACCATGCACCATGCACCATGCACCATGCACCATGCACCATGCACCATGCACCATGCACCATGCACCATGCACCATGCACCAGGGCAAACAGATAAGCCCACCCACCTGCCTGCATGCTGCTCTCAAGGTCTCCCCCTTCCATGAGCTCGTAGATCAAAACTTTCTCCACCACACCCTTCCAGTATGAGTGGCTGCACCACTCACCCTTCACCCTGCACCCTACTACACCCTGCACCCTTCACGCTGCACCCTGCACCCTACTACACCCTGCACCCTTCACGCTGCACCCTGCACCCTTCACCCTGCACCCTGCACCCTTCACCCTGCACCCTTCACCCTTCACCCTGCACCCTACTACACCCTGCACCCTTCACGCTGCACCCTGCACCCTTCACCCTGCACCCTGCACCCTGCACCCTGCACCCTTCACCCTTCACCCTGCACCCTTCACCCTTCACCCTGCACCCTGCTGCACCCTGCACCCTTCACCCTTCACCCTGCACCCTGCTGCACCCTTCACCCTTCACCCTGCACCCTGCACCCAGCGCCCAGCGCCCGGCAAATCCCACCCACCTGCCTGCATCCTGCTCTCAAGGTCTCCCCCTTCCATGAGCTCGTAGATCAACACTTGCTCCACCGCAAAACCACCAGCAGAACCCTTCCCCCCACCGCTGCCACTCCTGCTCCTCGCTCCCCTCATGCTTCCATTGCTCCTGCTGCTGCTTCTCCTGCTGTTTATCCTTGAGAATAACGAGAGGGCCAGCAGCAGTGGGTTGCTTTGTAAATGCTCCTGCCTCTCGTCCATACAGTATCCCAAGAGCTTCACGAGGTGGGGGTGGTGCTTGCTGCACATGCCGTTGACCTAGTGGGGCGGGGGGAGAGAGGGGTGAGAGAGAGAAGGCGCTGAGAGGAGAAGGGAGAAGGTGGGGTGTGCCCTCCATCCCGCTGCTGCCTGCACTATTTGCACTGTTTGCACTGTATGCACTGTTTGCACTATTTGCACTATTTGCACTATTTGCACTGTTTGCACTGTTTGCACTTTTTGCACTATTTGCACTGTTTGCACTGTTTGCACTTTTTGCACTTGTTGCACTATTTGCACTATTTGCACTGTTTGCACTATTTGCACTGTTTGCACTATTTGCACTATTTGCACTATTTGCACTGTTTGCACCGTTTGCACTTTTTGCACTTTTTGCACTTTTTGCACTATTTGCACTATTTGCACTATTTGCACTGTTTGCACTTTTTGCACTTTTTGGACTGTTTGCTCTGTCTGCACTGCTAGCACTGTCTGCACTGTCCAAACCCAACTCATGGCCGTTCTAGTTCCACACCCACTGAGTGGCACGTTGCACCTCCCACTGAAAGTCATCTGACAGCACTTTCCCTCACTTCACAGCCCACGCCACCGCTCATGAGGATTTTTGAGGCGCCTCAAATGCGGCACGTCTCACTCACCCCTCACTCACTTAGTGACACTGCTCACCCACCTCCCTCTGAAAGTCATCTGAAAATACATTCCCTAGCTTTACAGCCCACTGCTCGTGAGTATTGAAGGGGGAAACTTTCGAGGCGCCTTAAAAGATGCCTGAGTGGTACATCTCACCTCCCGCTGAAAGTCATCTGATAACACTTTCCCTCGCTTCACAGCCCACTGCTCGTGAGGATCGAAGGGGGAGACCCCCCTGTACACGTCAGCAAATCTGCCAGAGCCAATCAGATTGCAAGGCGCCCAGTTGTCAGTGGCCTGAAGGACGGCGGAGAGGGGGTACTGCTGACAGATGCCAGGTGGCACGCTGTGGTTGGACGATGCTGAAGGGAGGGTGGGAAACCGGGGAAAAAATAAATATCACAAGGGCACCAACAGCTGAAACAGCACGGAGGGATTACTAAGAATTATCACACATCTCCCAAACTCAGGGCTCTTACACTTGGCGTGTAGGGATCAACCTTGCCCGCAGTGCAGCTTTGCGCGGGCAGAAAATGAGAGCAGCAACAGCAGTGATAGCACAGAGTGCTTACTAAAAGTTGTTATGCATCTCCCGGGCTAGACCCAGGACTCTTACAGTTGGCACGTAAAGAGCGACCTTGCTTCTGGTACAGCTTGCACAGGCAGAAGAAGAGAACAGCAACAATAGCGACAACACATAGTGCTGCCAACGCCACCACTGCTATTACACCCGTTGAGATGCCAATAGGCGACGTTGGGTAGGGAGGAGAGAGAGGAGGAGGGAGAGGAGGAGGGAGAGGGGAAGCGGAAAGTGGCTGTAGAGTTGGCGGTGGGGCTAGAAAGAGTGGGGATGAAGGGGAAGGGACAGGAGAGGAGTATGTTGGCGGTGCTGCTGGTGATGGTGGTGGTGCTGATGCAAGTTTTGGTGCTGGTGTTGACGGTGGTGGAGTTGGTACTGGTGCTGATGCTGGTGAACCGGCAGATGAAACTGGTGGGCCAGCAGACGGAACTGGAGCAACAGGAGATGAAACCGGTGGAAGGCCGGGTGTATCAGATCCTGTAGTAGATTAGGGCACCGCAGCAAGGTAGAGTAGAAAGATAAGTATATTGAAACGCTTATTTGTTTAAGGTTAGTGCAAGGGGGAAACAGCACAATGAGGGACATAGAGTTTGGAGCAACGTTATGTAGGAAGGGATTCAACGTTACAGACGCCACATAGCTATTTGGGAATCGCTTTTGAGAATTCTCAAAAGAGACGCCACATAGCCACATAGCCACACCATGCGGGTGGAACAACTCCGCTACTTTTGAGTCAACTCAAAAGTCACCTCGTCACTAAGTGGATGGAACAGCACCTCTGTAACATCAAAACGCACTGCAAGAAACGGCATGGTGAAATCGTCTATTGGGTTCCTGTGCTCAATCACACTCGGATTGCGAAGGCTTCTTAAGGTAGAGTCACGTTCCAAGCATAAGGCCCTTCGGATCTGCCCTTATGCTTGCCATTCAGGTGACAGGTTCTGAGCTGATGCGATGTGATGTGATGTGATGTGATGTGATGTGATGTGATGCGATGTGATGTGATGTGATGTGATGTGATGTGATGTGATGTGCTGTGCTGTGATGTGATGTGCTGTGATGTGATGTGATGTGATGTGATGTGATGTGATGTGATGTGATGTGATGTGATGTGATGTGATGTGATGTGCTGTGCTGTGCTGTGCTGTGTGCGGTGTTGTGCTGTATGGTGCAATACACAGAAACTAGCAGCAGCTGTGTTCCACCGTAGCACTGTATCCCCATCAATGATACAGCAGCAGGCGCCTTCTGAGTCGACTCAAAGCTCACCCCCGTGCCTCAGTGTACGCTGTGTGAAAGACTGACAGCTGCATACCCTTCTTACCACGGGGGTATTGCTGCCGATAACCCTTGAGTTTTCTTACAACTCGCCTGGGCCCATGCTATAAGCCCTTCTTACCATAAATGCTGCAGCATGTGATTCTTGAGACAGCACACGCAACATACTCTTGAGACCACTCGCCTAGACCCAAGCTACATACCCTCCTTACCATACATACTGCTGCATGCGGAGCAGAAGGCAGAGCACTGCAGGCAGAAGAGGCTCTGAGTGTTCTCGATCCGGCTGATTACCGGCCCGCATGGTAGTGGTATGATCAGAGGTGCAGTAGGGGAGGCGGCCCTCGCTGCTGCTGCTGGCAGTGCTGCTGCTGGTCCTGCCAGTGCTGCTGGCACTGCTGCTGGCCCTGCTGCTGCTGGCACTGCTGCTGGTCCTGCAAGTGCTGCTGGCCCTGCTGCTACTGGCACTGCTACTGCTGCTGCTTCTGCTGCAGGTGGTGGTGGCAGTGCTGGTGGTAGTGGCGGGCAAATTAGGCTCTGGTCGGTGGTGTTGCTGCGAGGATGAGACGGGTGGAAGTGGAGGAAAGGAAAAGGGAAAGCTCAAGTTTTGAGATTGCCTTGGCCTGTACTGCTGCTGCTGCTGCTGCTGCAGGTGATGGGGGCAGTGCTGGTGGTAGTGACGGGCAACTTAGGCTCTGGTCGGTGGTGTTGCTGCGGGGATGAGAGGGGTGGAAGTGGAGGAAAGGAAAAGGGAAAGCTCGAGTCTTGAGTTTGACTTGGCCTGACTTGGTTCGACTTGGTCTGTTCGGTTTGGCCTCGTCTGACTTAGTTTGACTAGACTTGTTCTGATTCACTCTAACTTGGTATAACTTTGTGTGGAGTATGTCATGGTTTGACTTGGTCTCACGCGGTTGACTTGGCCTCACGTGGTTGACTTGGCCTCACGTGGTTGACATCTCACAGGGAAACTGCAGGTTTGTGACGTTGGAGGAACCCTGGGATCGGCCTAAGGTCTTGGGAAAGGGTCACAGGGAAGGATGACCTAGGGGTGTATGACCGCGCTCACTAGCTACAGAACAAGCCCTTTTAGCTCAGTGCTTAGCGGCTGAGCTTTAACAATAGGTGAGAGCAGCGAGTGAGCTGATGGTGTAGAGTGGCCAGTGAGTGAGCCTGTTGTTTTTCACCATAGACAACACCTGGGGCGCCTGAAAAATCGCATCACTTGAGCAAGGAGAGAGGAGAGGCCGTCTCACAGGAACTGCAGGTTGGTGAGAGAGGTGAGCAGTGGTGGGAGGTGACCTGTGAGTGAGACCGTTGCTGTTTATGCTAGGCGCCTGAAAAATCGCATCACTTGAGCAAGGAGAGAGGAGAGGCCGTCTCACAGGAACTGCAGGTTGGTGAGAGTGGCGAGCGATGGTGGAAGGGGACCTGTGAGTGACACCGTTGCTGTTTATGCTAGGCGCCTGAAAGCTCGCCTTGTCGAAATGAACGGACAGGAATGATTGAACTAGCAGTGAAATCAGTACAAGTACCTAACCCTAGAATTGTGTACCCCCTAAAGGCTAACCCACTGTAGCCTAAACAACCACAACATATATAATGTTTGACACACCCACATAGGCAAAGTGGGGGAGAACAAGGGGTCATAAGACCAGTCAGAGCAAAGCAAAGCACAAGCAAGCTCAGGGTGGATCTCAAGGGATACCACACAAATTCCGAGCACAAGCAAGTGGTCACAAGACCAGTTCACATGCAGTTTGATAATATAGCAAGAGGTACAGTGATCACAACCTAACAAGTGAAAGCATGCAGGTATATATATAGAGATCACAGTACAAGCAAAGTCAAGAAGTAAGCAAGTGAGGTCCAGTAGGCACAAGGCCTAGAAGAGTACAGAAGCGCTGATGGTCACAAGGCTGAAGCGCCTTGGTGAACACGTCAGCAGTGTTGGCCTGAGTGGCCACGTAACGCAGACAAAGCTGACCACGCTGCTGCAGCTCTCGAGCCAGAAAGTACCGCAGAGCGATGTGCTTCGTTCTGTGCTCCAGTCTGTGCTCCTCACACAAGGCAATGGAAGCCTTGTTGTCGACGTACAGCACTGGAGGAGAACGAGGCCGCTCTCCCAAGTCGGTCAGCAGGTAGGTGAGCCAGCGTAGCTCTTGGGCTGCCATGGCTGTGGCGTAGATCTCAGCCTCACAACTGGAGCTGAGAACTGAAGAAGAACGTGTAGAACGCCAAGAAACTGAACCAGAGCCAAGGCTGAAGGTGTAACCCTGAGACGACCGCTGAGTGGCCTGGTCGTCCGCCCAAGAAGCGTCTGAGTGCCCAGTGAGAACAACTCGGTCTCGCCCTCCAAGCACTAGCCCCATGCCCGACGTACTGCACAAGTAGCGCAACACCCTCTTAGCGGCCTCCATGTGCTCCTTCCGGTGACGGCCAGGAGCGACATAGCGTGCAAGGATGCTAAGAGGGTATGCAAGGTCAGGTCGAGTGCAGGTCATCAGGTACATGAGGCAGCCCACAAGCTCTGGATACGGGCCACTCGGCTCTACGGACTCATCCGAAGGCAGAGCTGAGAGCGAGTGACCGGTAGGCAGAGGAGTGGACTGAGGCGAGGAGTACGTGAAGCCGAAGCGCTGAAGGACCTGCTGCACCATGTGTGACTGAGTCAAGGTAATGGTGCGCCGTGCTCTGTCCCGGGTGATCCGCAAGCCAAGATAGCTTGTCAGTTCACCCAGGTCTGTGCACGTGTGTCTCTTCTGCAGCTCCGACTTCACGTGGGCGAGAGCCTCAGTGTCAGCAGTGGCAAAGACCAAGTCGTCGACGTACACGAGGATGTAGAACGGCGGCAGCGAAGTGTCTGTGCGCAGAAACAGCGACGGGTCAGCAATCGAAGGCGCGAACCCAAGTGCCGCAAGTGTCGTCCTCAGTGTGTCGTGCCACTCACGTGGTGCCTGGCGGAGACCGTAGACCGGCCGCCGGAGGCTCCACTGGGTACCAGGAGGAAACGACCCAGTGAAGCCAGGAGGGCGGCGCAGCCAGATCTCCTCGTGTAGGCTACCCTGCAAGAAAGCAGTGCTGAAGTCAAGAGAGTGAAGCTCGTAGTCGCGCTGAGCGGCTATGTGCAGCAGCACCCGAAGAGTGGTCATCTTCGGGGTGGGGGAGAAGGTCTGGAAGAAGTCGACTCCCTCACGCTGACTGAAGCCTCGAGCAACGTAACGCGCCTTGAAGACAGGCGGAGAACCCGGCGGCCGCTTCACCCTGAAAATCCACATGCCACTGACGATGTTCGCCCCTGGTGGGGGAACTGCATCGACGTAGGTGCCTGTGGACTTCCAGGAAGCCATCTCTGCGTCCATGGCTGTCTGCCACTGAGAGGAGTAGGGACCCGCTATCGCCTCTGCGTAAGAGCGCGGGGTCGGGATGTCTGGTGCATCCGGGTCTCCCTCAGGGGCAACTAGCATGGACACGAGATGAGGCAAAGCAGCAGCAAAGCACTGGAACTCCTCCTGCCTGTTCTCAAGGACGTCCGTGCCAAGAGCACACTCACCCCCGACGGACGGAGGACAGATAGACTCAGACTCAGCAACTAGGCAAGCGGCGTAGTCTAGACGACAAGCGGCAGCAAAGTCAACTAACTCAGCGACGAGAGCAGACGCAGCAGAGGACTCAAAGGTAGGGTCAGTAACAACAGTAGCGAGGAGACGCGTGACAGTAGGACGGGCAGCACGAAGGGAGTCAGACTCCGGGTCAGGAAGAGTAGGAAGAGAGGACGCAGGAGGAGACGGCAGAGGGACACGCTGAGGAGCAGTGGAGGGACGCAGAGTCATGTAGTGAGTGCCAGGGACAGGAGGAGGACGCTCACGCGGGACACGACGACCAGTGCGAGCAGCACGAACAGGCGACGCAGAGCGAGACGCAGGCGACACAGGACGAGACTCAGGCTCACGACGCTCCGTAAGACCTCCTGTGGGACCAGTGTAAGGAGAAGGACCAGGGAGCAGCGAGGCAGGCGGTAACTGTGACTGTGACTGGACAGGCGGTGGACACTCTAAGGAGGGAGCAGGACAAGGAGGAGGAGGCTGACCAAGAACCTGCTGAAGGAGCGGAACGAAGTACGGCCGGGGCCGCGCAGCGACTCCAGAACCAGTAGAGACACCACCAGTACCCGCAGCAGCTCCAGCAGCGCCAGCTCCAGGGTCCTCAGCACCAGAAGTAGCCCCAACGTCAGGGTCCGCAGCACCAGCAGCAGCTCCAACTCCAGGGTCCGCAGCACCAGCAGTAGCTCCAACGTCCGGGTCCTCAGCACCAGTAGCAGCTCCAACTCCAGGGTCCGCAGCACCAGCAGCAGCTCCAACTCCAGGGTCCGCAGCACCAGCAGGAGCTCCAGCACCAGGGTCCTCAGGACTAGCAGCAGCTCCAACTCCAGGGTCCGCAGCACCAGCAGCAGCTCCAACTCCAGGGTCCGCAGCACCAGCAGCACCAGGAGAGCCTCCAGCACCAGCAGCAGCACCTCCAGCACCAGGGTCCGCGACACCAGGCGCGCCACTCCGGAGAGTGCAGCGCCGCTCGTACCACTCACGGATCCGCTCAAGAGAGGGCAGCTCCCGCTGAGGAGGGGAGGCACCAGCACTAGTCTCAGTAGTACTCTGAGTACCACTCACGCAGCTGCTCCGAGGAGAGAGCTCCTCCAGGTGTAGGACTCCCAGGCTCAGCACCCCCAGACTCAGAACTCCGCGGCTCAGCACCCCCAGGCTCAGTACCTCCAGGCTCAGCACCCCCAGACTCCGCACCCCCAGACTCCGCACCCCCAGGCTCAGCACCCCCAGACTCCGCACCCCCAGGCTCAGCACCCCCAGACTCCGCACCCCCAGGCTCAGCACCCCCAGGCTCCGCACCCCCAGCAGGACGAGAGTCAACAGCTACCTCAACAGGCTCAACCGGGTCTACCTGGGACACACCTGAGGGAGCGGCACCCTGAGGGGGGAGGGGGTCTACCACAGCAGCACCTGGCGCGAGGAAGAGAGGCGGGGGGGGGAGCGGGGCAGTGCGGTAGGGGAAGAGGTGGTAGTAGGGGACAGACTCGTCAAAAGTGACGTCCTGAGAGGACAGGACACGGCGCGAGGTGGCGTGGTAAAACTGCCAACCAGACGCGTCAGGGACAAAGCCAAGGAAGACACAGGGAACAGCGCGGGTGGAGAGCTTGTCCGCGGACGTATCGCGGACAAAAGCTCGAGATCCCCAGACCCGGAAACGCGACGCATCGCCAACCTCCCCCGTCCACAGCAGCGTGGGCGAGGTCTCCGGCAAGGAGACACGGGGCCAGAGGTTGAGCTGATGCGCAGCGTACCGGACCGCAAACGGCCACAGAAAGTGGGGGGCAGCCGCATGGATCAGGGAGGTACGAGCGACCTCCATGACTAGGCCAATGCGGCGCTCCGCAACCCCATTCTGCTGTGGAGAGTCCGGAAGCGTGAACGACTGCTCAATGCCGTGCTCAGCACAGTAGGCTGCCAAGAGGTCGGAGGAGAACTCACCACCTCTGTCAGAGTGCAAGCGCAGGACAGGAAAGTCCGAGTGGAAACGCTCGCTGAGCTGGAGACGAGCTCTGCGGATCCAAGGGATCAAAACATCAGGGACCTCACCCTTGGTGCGCAAGGGGAAGACCGTGGTGTAGCGCGAGTAGTCGTCAACAACAATCAGGAAGTACCTCTCCTGGCCCTGACCACGGACGCGGGTTGGGCCCCACACGTCCATGTGGAGCGTCTGCAAGGGAGCAGTCGTCGGGGGAAACGAGGAGTGAGGAGCGGCGCGCTGCCGCCCCTCGACACAGGGAAGACAGGGAGGAGCAGGCGAGGGTGGGAGGGGAGGGAGGACCCTGGGAAGACCAGCAACAAGGTCCCGTTTGTGCATGGCACGAAGGCGCTGCACAGACGGGTGGCCAAGTCGGTGGTGCCAGAGGACAGTCTCGTGCGCCAGAGAGCGACACGAGCAGGGGGCCGACAGCTGACCTGACGCAGACGCAGCGACCTGAGGGGACTCAGTGGTCAGTGTGTACAGGTCCGACCCCGGCTGCCTAGTGAAGGTAGCCAAGTGGCGGCCCGTACGAGCACACGTGCAGTGTGTCACGCGCTCGTAGGCAGGGGTGAACTGGTGAACACCCGCGTCCTGGAGCGCACACCCTGCCACCAGGTTCGTAGAGAACGAGGGGAGGTGGAGACCTGACAGTGTGCCGGACGGGACCGCAGGACAAGGAAGGACAGTCGAGGGGGTCGCAACTACCGGGCCCCCAGAGGGGTCAGCAAGGGAGACAGCAACTGGCCGAGCAAGCGGCTCAAGGACAGTGCGGTCACGAAAGAAGCAGCGAGAAGCACCTGAGTCCAGTGTGAAGGTGTGTAGTGCCTCAGTCGACTCAGTACCAGGGGGCGCAGACGCACAAGCACCTAGAGCAGCAGCCTCACCAGCACCTGAGGTAGCAGACACGCGAGGACCTGAAGCGGCAGACGCACTGGTCCTAATGCCCGGGTCGGGCGGAACACACAGGTACTCAGCACCCTCTCCACTAGTAGACATCACATACATGGCAGTGAGAATAGCATCAAAGTCTAGAGCATAGATATCAATCCCCTTCTTCAGGAGATCAACCCAGCGGGGCAGCTCAGTGGCCTGAGGGAACTGAACACGCCAAGCGTCGTTGAGGCGAGCGAAGCAGCGCTGCGTAGCGTGTGGTCCCCCACACGGCTGACCAGTGCGGTCACCAGTGCGAATGACATACGTGCAGGTAAAGCCACCCCCCCCCCCCCCCCCCGTGCTGAGCGTACCACTCACGGACTTCCTGGGGCGACGGAGTGGGCTGCTGGCTCTGGCCACCGCTAGCGCCTCCACGACCACCACCTTCGCCCCCATCTCCTCGACCACCCCAACCCCTGCCGCTGCCGCGTCCACCGCCACCCCCACCACCGCCCCCGCCCCTGCCACCTCCCCCGCCGCTGCCGCCACCACCCCCACCGCTGCCACTCGCCGCCACCTCCTCCTCCCCCGCCGTCACCTCCAGCCCCGCCACCACCCCCACCGCCGCCACCGCCCCCACCTCCTCCTCCCCCGCCGTCACCTCCGCCTCCCTTGCCCCCTTTGCCCTTGCCGCTGCGGCGTCCGCTCGAAGTAGACGCAGTCCCGACCTTCTCAGCACCAAGGAGGTCGACAGCAGCAGCAGAGGCGACAGAGGGAAGAAGGGGGGAAGGAGAACACCCCTCAAAGAACGGGGTGCGAGGGTCGCCACGAGAGGCACCTACAGCGACTATGCTAGCCTCAGCTGCAAGTAGTTCCTTCTCGAGGAGGGCAATGGTGAGCTCAGTAGGGCAGCGAGCTAGGAAGGAATCCCTGACTGCACGCAGAGAGTCAGGGAGGCGGGTGACTAGGTGGTAGAGAGTGAGCCAGAGCGGGGGGGGGTTCTTGGCAAGGAACTCATCAGGCATAGCGGCGCGGAAGCGAGCCTCACTAGTGCGGAGGTGCGTGATGAGGTCAGCGACTGTGTGGAAAGAGGACAGGTCGGGGAACAGGTAGGGAAGCGAGAGACGGCCTAGTGCGGCAGAGGCAGGTGAGGAGTAGCGGGCAACGACAGCTTTGTACAGTTCCTGTGCAGTCTTGTGCTGGCCAAAGTGCTCGCGCTCATCTATCGGCAGGGAGTTGCGAATAGCAAAGCGAGCGTGGGCGTCACGAGTCTGCCACTGTGAGCGGGTAGAGCTGTCAGCAGTAGTAGCAGGTGCAGTGGCATGGCCTAGGGCGTGATCGTACAGTGAGATGTCCTCCTTGGCAGTGAGCTGTAGGAAGAGGTGCAGGTCATCTAGCCAGGTGTCAAACTTCACTGGACGTCCCTCAGCATCGAAAGCTAGCACAGGAGGGCTAGCCATAGTAGCAGTAGGAGCAGTAGTAGTAGGTGCACCCTAACAGTAGTAGGCAGCGCGACTCAGGTAGGGCGGCTCGGTCCAGAGAGGCTGTTCGGTCAGGACGGGCGGCGCGGCTCGGTTCAGGTAGGGCGGCGCGGCTCGGTTAGGGCGGCGCGGCTTGGTGTGGGCTGCGCGGCTCGGTTCGGGCGTCCTGGGTTTGGCGGGGCCGTCGCTGTCGTGTGCGGGGCGGTTAGGGGCAGCGGGTAGGGTCGACGGGGCCAGCGGGGCCTCTAAGGGGCGGCGCGGGGGTCGCTAAAGGGCGGCGCGCGGGGTCGACGGGGCCAGCGGGGCCTCTAAGGGGCGGCGCGCGGGGTCGACGGGGCCAGCGGGGCCTCTAAGGGGCGGCGCGCGGGGTCGACGGGGCCAGCGGGGCCTCTAAGGGGCGGCGCGCGGGGTTGACGGGGCCTCTAAGGGGCGGCGCGCGGGGCCGACGGGGCCTCTAAGGGGCTGCGACGGGGCCGTAAGGGGCCTTTAGGTGCGAGCGCGGGGCCGTAAGGGGCCTCTAGGGGGCGAACGCGGGGCCGACGGGGCCGCTAAGGGGCGGCGCGCGGGTCGCTAAGGGGCGGGTCGCGGGTCGCGGGGCCTTAGGGGGCCGTGAAATACAAGGCGCACTAGGGCGCAGGTAGGTAGGTAGGTAGGCAGTAGCGGTGGGCCCTAAAAAAAATGGTCCTAGCGAAGGACCTGCTCTGAAACCATGTCGAAATGAACGGACAGGAATGATTGAACTAGCAGTGAAATCAGTACAAGTACCTAACCCTAGAATTGTGTACCCCCTAAAGGCTAACCCACTGTAGCCTAAACAACCACAACATATATAATGTTTGACACGCCTCACTTGAGCAAAGAGAGAGGAGAGGCCGTCTCACAGGGCTGGAGCTGCTGCTGGTGCTGAGGACCCGGGCGTTGGAGCTGCTGCTGGTGCTGAGGACCCGACCGGTGGCGCTGCTGCTGGTGCTGAGGACCTGACCAGTGGCCCTGCTGCTGGTGCTGAGGACCCGGGCGTTGGAGCTGCTGCTGGTGCTGAGGACCCGACCGGTGGCGCTGCTGCTGGTGCTGAGGACTCGGGCGTTGGAGCTCCTACTGGTGCTGAGGACCCGGGCGTTGGAGCTGCTGCTGGTGCTGAGGACTCGGGCGTTGGGGCTGCCACTGGTGTCCCTGCTGCTTCTGGAGACGCTGCGCGGCCGCGACCGTACTTCGTACCGCTCCTTCAGCAGGTTCTTGGGCAGGCTCCTCCTCCTTGTCCTCCTCCCTCCGTAGAGTGTCCTCCGCCTGTCCAGCCGCAGTCACAGTTACCGCCTGCCTCGCCTCTCCCTGCTCCCTCTCCTTACGCTGGTCCCACAGGAGGTCTTACAGAGCGTCGTGAGCCTGAGTCTCGTCCTGCGTCGCCTATTCGTACTGCTCGCACTGGTCGTCGTGTCCCACGTGAGCGTCCTCCTCCTGTCCCTGGCACTCACTACATGACTCTGCGTCCCTCCACTGCTCCGCAGCGTGTCCCGCTGCCGTCTCCTCCTGCGTCCTCTCTTCCTACTCTTCCTGACCCGGAGTCTGACTCCCGTCGTGCTGCCAGTCCCACTGTTACGCGTCTCCTCGCTACAGTTGTCACTGACCCGACCTTTGAGTCCTCTGCTGCGTCTGCTCTGGTCGCTGAGTTGGTTGACTTTGCTGCTCGCTGTCGCCTAGACTACGCTGCCAGCCTTGTCGCTAGGTCTGAGTCTGCGTCTGCCTGTCCTCCGTCCGTCGGGGGTGAGTGTGCCCTCGGCACGGACGTCCTTGAGGACAGACAGGAGGAGTTCCACTGCCTTGCTGCTGCTTTGCCCCGTCTCGTGTCCTTGCTAGTTGCCCCTGAGGGAGACCCGGATGCACCAGACATCCCGACCCCACGCTCTTACGCTGAGGCGATGGCGGGTCCCTACTCCTCTCAGTGGCAGACAGCCATGGACGCAGAGATGGCCTCCTGGAAGTCCACAGGCACCTACGTAGACGAGGTTCCCCCTCCTGGGGCGAACATTGTCAGTGGCATGTGGATTTTCAGGGTGAAGCGGCCGCCGGGTTCTCCGCCTGTTTTCAAGGCGCGCTACGTGGCTCGAGGCTTCAGTCAGCGAGAGGGAGTAGACTTCTTTCAGACCTTCTCCCCCACCCCGAAGATGACTACTCTTCGGGTGCTGCTGCACATAGCCGCTCACCGCGACTACGAGCTTCACTCTCTTGACTTCAGCACTGCTTTCTTGCAGGGCAGCCTGCACGAGGAGATCTGGCTGCGTCGCCCCCCTGGCTTCACTGGGTCAGTTCCTCCTGGCACCCAGTGGAGGCTTCAGCGGCCGGTCTACGGTCTCCGCCAGGCGCCACGTGAGTGGCACGACACACTGAGGACGACACTTGCGGCACTTGGGTTCGCTCCCTCTACTGCTGACCCGTCGCTGTTTCTACGCACCGACACCTCGCTGCCGCCGTTCTACATCCTCGTGTACGTCGACGACTTGGTCTTTGCCACTGCTGACACTGCGGCACTCGCTCACGTGAAGTCGGAGCTGCAGAGGAGACACACGTGCACAGACCTGGGTGAGCTGACGAGCTATCTTGGCTTGCGGATCACCCGGGACAGAGCACGGCGCACCATCACCCTGACTCAGTCACACATGGTGCAGCAGGTTCTCCAGCGCTTCCGCTTCACGTACTCCTCGCCTCAGTCCACTCCTCTGCCTACCGGTCACTCGCTCTCAGCTCTGCCTTCGGATGAGTCCGTAGAGCCGAGTGGCCCGTATCCAGAGCTTGTGGGCTGCCTCATGTACCTGATGACCTGCACTCGACCTGACCTTGCATACCCTCTTAGCATCCTAGCACGCTATGTCGCTCCTGGCCGTCACCGGAAGGAGCACATGGATGCTGCTAAGAGGGTGTTGCGCTACTTGTGCAGTACGTCGGGCATGGGGCTTGTGCTTGGAGGGCGAGACCGGGTTGTTCTCACAGGGCACTCAGACGCTTCTTGGGCAGACGACCAGGCTACTCAGCGGTCGTCCCAGGGTTACACCTTCAGCCTTGGCTCTGGCTCAGTTTCTTGGCGTTCTACTCGCTCTTCTTCTGTTCTCAGCTCCAGTTGTGAGGCTGAGATCTACGCCACAGCCATGGCTGCTCAGGAGCTACGCTGGCTGACCTACCTGCTGACCGACCTCGGAGAGCGGCCTCGTTCTCCTCCAGTGCTGTACGTCGACAACAAGGCTGCCATTGCCTTGTGTGAGGAGCACAGACTGGAGCACAGAACGAAGCACATCGCTCTGCGGTACTTCCTTGCTCGAGAGCTGCAGCAGCGTGGTCAGCTTTGTCTGCGTTACGTGGCCACGGAGGCCAACACTGCTGATGTGTTCACCAAGGCACTTCAGCCTTGTGACCATCAGCGCTTTTGCACTCTGCTAGGCCTTGTACCTACTGGGCCTCACTTGCTTACCTCTTGACCTTGCTTGTACTGTGATCACTATATATATATGCCTACTTGTTTACTTTTGCTAGGTTGTGATCACTGTATCTCTTGCTTTGTTATAAACCTGCATGTGAACTGGTCTTGTGACCGCTTGCTTGTGCTCGGAATTTGTGTGGAATCCTTGAGATCCACCCTGAGCTTGCTTTGCTTTGCTTTGACTGGTCTTGTGACCCTGTGGTTGTCTCCCACTGCGCCTATGGGGGTGTGTCAAACATTGCATGCTTATATTATGTAGGCTGTAGTGGGTTACACCTTAGGGGGTACTGAAAGTTAGGGTTTCCTACTTGTACCAAACTATGTGCTAGTTCAATCCATTCCTGCTCAGTTATTTCTGACACTGCAGGTTGGTGAGAGAGGCGAGCGATGGTGGGAGGTGACCTGTGAGCCTGTTGCTGTTCACGTTGCTGGCAGCAAGTGAAAGAGATGGAGGTGGATGGTAGGGTGGGGAACAACGGGAGAGAATGGCTACAAAGCATATTTTTATTTGGATAAATAATGGTGGATGGGCGGAGAGGACTAAAGGGAGAGGGTGGTTACAAAGAAAAAAAGAAAAAGAAGAAAAAAAAAGTTTTATGGTGGTGGATTGGGGGGGATACTGGTAGTGGGTGGTGGTTAGGCAAACAGCGAGTTACCAAGAATGGGTGGAGGGGAGGGAGATGGCAGAGAGGCATTAAGGGTTTGCAAAGAGAATAACGGAGTCTGAAAGGAGAATTCTCAAAGTGACAACCGTAGAGTTGGGTACCCACAGGACAGAGAGGTTATTGAGTGTGGTGATGGAGATACTGGTAGGGACCCTGAGAGTCAGATGTGACATAGAGATTAACAGTAAGAATTCACGGGGCGCTGCTCTTACAGGACATAGAGGTTAGTGAGCGCGGTGACAGAGGCTGGCAGGGACCCTGACAAGTTGTTGTGGCTTAGATCGCTTGTGAGTGGACGGAGAGGAGAGAGCGAGAGGGGAAGGGAGGGAGGAAGGGAGGAAGGGAGGGAGGGAGGGAGGGAGGGAGGATTGGAGGGAGGGAGGGAGGATTGGAGGGAGGGAGGGAGGGAGGGAGGGAGGGAGGGAGGGAGGGAGGAAGAGAGGGAGGGAGGGAGGGAGGGAGGGAGGGAGGGAGGGAGGGAGGGAGGGAAGGAGGGAGGGAGGGAGGGAGGGAGGGAGAGAGGGAGGGAGGGATTATATGTTGATGAATGGGGAGAAGTATAAAATACAAGCTTTCAAGTTAGAATAAGTCTAAGAAGGGAGTGGGATAGAGAGAAAGGGAGGAAGGGAGAACAACGGCAAAAAAAGGAAATAACATGTGGAGAAGAAAGAGGAATGAATTGGAGATAAACGGAAAAGGGGAGAAGAAGGGAGGCAAAGTGAGAGGATAGAATATAAAGCGCGAGAAAATGAGAGAAAGGGAGAGAAAGAGAGCGTATAGGGCAGTGAGTGAAGTCATGGTGGAGATGAAAGAAGGCCAGTCGCCCTGTAAGCTGTTGTGCTGGAGAT